CTGGCCGTGTGATCGCTCCAAATCTGTTGCCGCTTACACCATGCATGGGACCACGGCGTGCGAGTACCAGGTGCTACAATACGGCAGCTTCGTCCGGTGAATTGCTCTGCGGTCTCTGCGGGACCTCTTCGAAGCCCGATTGCTGATGAAATCATTTTCCGCTGGATGCATATAGCCTGTCCAGGTAATCGACTTGCGCGGGCCAACGCGCAGATTGGCGTTCGGACAGCGCCTGCACGGATCGGACAATCAACACTGCCAAGCAATGTCGCCCCAACCTTTTCACCGGCTTGGATCCGGCATTGCCCCAAAAGGCCTTCCACATCTTGCGCATCGTTGCCTGGAATGCTGTCGATACGGAACCAGCGTCGTTGATTGAATGGCCCAGTACGGGAAGAGTCCAGCTCCCACGTATAATCGCCAATCCTGTAACCAACAGAGTAAGCAGCACCAGCAGCTGCTGAAGTAACCATTTTTGAAGAAGGTTCAAGGTGAGTTTCTACCTTTTCAACGGATATTGCACTGCGTCTGACGTTATGCTTAACATTCCTATTGCCCCTTTCGGCACAGCATACGATGTGCTAGTGACGACGAGTGGTGTCCAGGCTCAAATTGAAACCCGTTCGTTCTCCAAGCAGGCTTCTGATTCGCAATCATGTCGAGGATGGGAACTCGTCCTGAGGCACTGGCCGTCCTAGTTCCAGTAAAACCACCCTTCGTGCGCCTTTCAAAAATTACCGACGCGTCTGCAAACAGCAAAGACATTCACGGCAACAGCTGAATCATCAGACAAACAGCGCCCAGGCTACTCGTAATACCGACCTGAACCATGGAATTACACACTGCAACGGTTGGCAACTCATAGTAATTGCATGTGATGTCGCTCTCAAAGACAGCGATGGTGATGACGATGCTGCTGCTGCTGATGATGATGGTGATGATGACGGTGATGCTGATGATGACCATGATGGAGGTGCTGCTGCTGATGATGAGGGCGTTGATGGTGATGATGGTGATGCTGCTTGTGATGATGAGGCTGATGATGATGATGAAGATGATGCTGATGATGCTGCTGATGATGATGAAGATGTGGATGACTGTGACGCTTATGGTGAGGACGTTGACGATGATGATAATGCTGATGATGATACTGCTGCTGATGATGATGTGGATGACGGTGACGCTTGTGGTGAAGACGCCGATGATGGTGATGCTGATGATGATGACGGTGACGCTTATGGTGAAGACGGTGATGACGATATTGATGATGATGCTGATGATGATTCTGATGATGCTAATGATGGTGGTGGTGGTGATGATGATGCTGACGGTGATGCTGTTGATGAGGATGATTCAATGCACTTCTCGATGTGTGTGTCCCCCTTACGCAGGGGCAATGTGAATATGATATCTGTCGTTCCAAACTTATGGACGACCCCGACGGGAATCCGATCAAGATGATCATGATGATGACGATAACGATGACGATGATGACGATTGTGATGGCGATATTGATGACGACGACGATGATGATGACGCTGATGATGCTGATGATGGTGATGCTGCTGATGACGATGATGATGAGTAGGAGGAGGGTGATGATGCTGCAGGTGACGGTGATGATGATGCTGATGACGACGATGATGATGACGATGATGATGGTGATGCTGATAATGGTGATGATGATAATGATGCTGATGATGAGGATGATGATGATGATGCGGAACATGATGATTCTGATGATGATGATGATGGTGATGATGATGAGGATGATGATGATGATGATGATGATGATGATGATGATGATGATGCGGAACATGATGATGATGATGATGATGATGATGATGATGATGATGATGATGATGATGATGGTGATACTGGTGATGGTGATGATGGTGATGATGATGATGATGGTGATGATGAGGATGAGGATGATGGACATGAACATGAACATGATAACGATGATGATGAGAATGGCAATCCAGTGTCCGAGTAGGATACAACGTGAAGCCACGACCTCGACCCCCACCCCCTCCCATGGTCAGCCGTGCGCGTCGGACTCCCTGGGAACGCCGACGCGTGGGCGTGGGCGGCTGCCGTTGCCCCCCCCCACCAGACGCTGGGCGGTGCCAGTGCCGCGCAGCGGGGTCCTGAGCCCGCGTGGAACCAGCGCCTTCGCGAGAAGAAGGCATTGGACCTGGGACGCGGGAGGACATCCGAGAGATCCCGACGCTACCCCAAAAAATTGGAGCGGGCGGTTCTGGGGCTGCTTCGGCCTCCGGGGGGCCCTCGCAGGGCCTCGGGACCGTCAACAAGACGACGCAGGGCGAAAAGCTGGCCCCAGGGAAGCGGTCCAGACTTCTGGTGCCTACGCATCGGAAAACATGGAGCAGCTGGATGTCTGAGAACATTCTCGTGCTACGTGTCCTCCTTGGAGGCGCGCGTCCGAGCCGAACATGTACTACAGACTCTGATAGCATGTCTACTCTCCCGAGCGGTGTGGCCAGACAAAACCCTGCAGGGAGCTTGTACTGCACGATTTCCGGGCGTGCGCGTCGCACTTACGTGGCCGACGCGCATGTGGTATAGGCACGTTCGGGTAGTGCCGAGGACAGACTGCTCAGGAGGGTGGCCATGGCAAAGACAGGACCAGACTGCCGCCCAACATCGCGTCGGCCTCGCACCAGATTTTTAGGATGTGGTAGACCAGATTTCCAAAATGCGGCAGACGCACAAACAGCGCCCGGCCGTGGGGCGGCAGCGGGCTCCCAGCAAGGGGTGATCTGCGCGCCCAGTGCGAATCAGAGCTCACTGGTAGTCGAAATCGTGCGTCACCTGCGCCAGCTCATCGAAAGTGCCGTCGCCCTGCGACGCGCCCGCGCCCATGTGGCTCCCGATAGACAGGAGGGAGAGCGTGCGCTTGCAGTCCGCCGGTGGAGTCGCGATGGTCGAGTGGTCGTCCGAGCCGAGGAGACCGCCGACGGAGGCCTGCACAGCGCCCAGATGCTTGACGAAGATGTTGAGGTAACGGACGCCGGTGATTGTCCTGCCCCAGATAATCTTCAGATCCAGCTCGTTGCCGAAGCGCGTCCAGTGAGTGCTGTTGCTCCTGTGAGCTGCGTCCGCAAAAAAGTTGAAGCCAGCGCTGCGACTTTGCCGTTTGCTTAGCGTGTACGCCAAGTCTTCTGCCCACTTGCCCTTTACGGAGATGGAATGGAAGTACATGTCCGCGCAAGCGCCTCCCATGTGCAAAGCCTCGCCGTTCACCTTCAGCAGGGTGGCTCTGGGTTCAGCATCCTTGGGAATCTGGATCAGCGTGTGATTGCCCTCCCTCAGGATGTCAAAGCGCTGTCCGTACATGTTTACCAAGTGGGGATCGCCGACGGCCTTTGCGGCAGTCTCCTTCCGAGCAGGCTTCGGCTTTGCAGCACTTTTGTGCGTGGTGTCCTGCTCGTCCCACCAATGCCCAGCGGCAGGCAGCGTGGGCGGTTCGAAGCTGGGGCGCTCTTCCTTCGCCTTCGCCTGCGACGCCTTCGCCTGCGCTTCCGCATTCGCGGCCTCCTCGGCCTCGATCTTGCGCTGCGCCTTCTCCCGCTCCGCCCGCTTCTTGGCCGCCGCCGCCGCCGCCTTCTTGGCCTGCTGGCGTGCGGCGCGCTCGGGCTCCTCCGAGGCCTGCGTCTCCTGTGCCACGCGCTTGGCCTCCTCCGCAGCCGCCCGCTCAGCGCCCTTCTTGGCCTCCTCCGCCGCAGCCTCCGCTTGCAGCTTCGCCTTGCGTTCCGCCTCCTCCTCCTTGGCCAACTCCTTGGCCCAATGCTCGTCCTCTTCGCGCCTAGCCTGCGCCTTTCGCTCGGCTTCTGCCTCGTGCACGGCCTCTTCCTTGCGCGAGGCCTCGGCCACTGCCTTGGCCTCTGCTTTGCGCTCGGCCTCCGCCCTCTGCTCGGCTTTCTCCTTGGCCACGCCCTCGGCCTCCGCCTTGCGCATATCCTCGACCTTGCGCTGGGCCTCGGCCTCCGACCTCTGCTCGGCTTTCTCCTTGGCCACGCCCTCGGCCTCCGCCTTGCGCATGTCCTCCACCTTGCGCTTGGCCTTCGCCTCAGCCTTGCGCTCGGCCTCTACCTTCCGCTCGGCCTCGGCATTGCGCTCGGCCTCCGCCTGGCGCATGTCCTCCACCTTGCGCTTGGCCTTAGCCTCTGCCACGCGCTCGGCCTCCGCCTTGCGCTCGGCCTCCGCTGCGGCCTCGGCCACTGCCTTGCGCTCGGCCTCCTCCTTGCGGTCGGCCTCTGCCTTCAGCTCGGCCTCCGCTTTGCGCTCGGCCTCGGCCTTGCGCTCGGCCTCCTCCTTGCGCCTGGCCTCTGCCACGCGCTCGGCCTCGGCCTTGCGCACGGCCTCCTCCTTGCGGTTGGCCTCGGCCTTCCGCTCGGCCTCCGCCTTGCGCTCAGCCTCGGCCTTGCGCTCGGCCACCGCCTTGCGCTCGGCCTCCGCCTTGCGCATGTCCTCCACCTTGCGCTTGGCCTTCGCCTCAGCCTTGCGCTCGGCCTCTACCTTCCGCTCGGCCTCGGCATTGCGCTCGGCCTCCGCCTTGCGCATGTCCTCCGCCTTGCGCTTGGCCTTAGCCTCTGCCACGCGCTCGGCCTCCGCCTTGCGCTCGGCCTCCGCTGCGGCCTCGGCCACTGCCTTGCGCTCGGCCTCCTCCTTGCGCTCGGCCTCTGCCTTCAGCTCGGCCTCCGCTTTGCGCTCGGCCTCGGCCTTGCGCTCGGCCTCCTCCTTGCGCCTGGCCTCTGCCACGCGCTCGGCCTCGGCCTTGCGCACGGCCTCCTCCTTGCGGTTGGCCTCGGCCTTCCGCTCGGCCTCCGCCTTGCGCTCAGCCTCGGCCTTGCGCTCGGCCACCGCCTGGCGCTCGGCCTCCGCCTTGCGCATGTCCTCCACCTTGCGCTTGGCCTTCGCCTCAGCCTTGCGCTCGGCCTCTACCTTCCGCTCGGCCTCGGCATTGCGCTCGGCCTCGGCCTTGCGCATGTCCTCCGCCTTGCGCTTGGCCTTAGCCTCTGCCACGCGCTCGGCCTCGGCCTTGCGCTCGGCCTCCTCCTTGCGCTCGGCCTCTGCCTTCCGCTCCGCCTTGCGCTCAGCCTCGGCCGTGCGCTCGGCCTCCGCCTTGCGCTCGGCCTCCGCCACGCGCTCGGCCTCGGCCTTGCGCTCGGCCTCCGCCGCGGCGTCGGCCACTGCCCTGCGCTCGGCCTCCTCCTTGCGCTCGGCCTCTGCCTTCCGCTCGGCCTCCGCCTTGCGCTCGGCCTCGGCCTTGCGCTCGGCCTCCTCCTTGCGCTCGGCCTCTGCCACGCGCTCGGCCTCGGCCTTGCGCTCGGCCTCCGCTGCGGCCTCGGCCACTGCCTTGCGCTCGGCCTCCTCCTTGCGGTCGGCCTCTGCCTTCCGCTCGGCCTCCGCCTTGCGCTCGGCCTCGGCCTTGCGCTCGGCCTCCTCCTTGCGCTCGGCCTCTGCCACGCGCTCGGCCTCGGCCTTGCGCTCGGCCTCCTCCTTGCGGTTGGCCTCGGCCTTCCGCTCGGCCTCCGCCTTGCGCTCGGCCTCCGCCTTGGCCTCGGCCTTGCGCTCGGCCTCCTCCTTGCGGTCGGCCTCTGCCTTCCGCTCGGCCTCCGCCTTGCGCTCGGCCTCCGCCTTGCGCTTGGCCTTCGCCTCTGCCTTGCGATCGGCCTCCGCCTTACGCTCGGCCTCGGCTTTGTGCTCGACCTCGGCCTTGCGTTCGGCCTCGGCCTTGCGGTCGGTCTCTGCCTTCCGCTCGGACTCCGCCTTGTGCTCGGCCTCCGCCTTGCGCTCGGCCTCCTCCTCGCGCTCGGCCTCCGCCTTGCGCTCGGCCTCCGCCTTGTTCTCGGCCTCCGCCTTGCGCTCGGCCTTCTCCTGCACCGCCTTCAGCAAGCTGTCGCCCTCCGCCGCGCGCTCTGCATCCTCCTTGCGCTGGGCCTCTGCTTTGCGCTCTTCCTCCTGCCGCTTCTCCTGGGCCGTGTTCTCGGGCTCCGTGGCCTCCTGGAGAGCCTTGTTCTTCTCCTCCTCCGCTTCGCGTTCCTTCTTCTCCTTCTCCTCTTGCCAGGCCTTTTCCTTGGCCTCGCGCTCGGCCTTCTGTTTGTTCTCCTTCGCCTTGGCCTTCTCCACCTCGGCGTCGCGCTTCAGCTTCGCCGCCTGCTCGGCCGCCGACTCCTCGGCCGCCTTCTCGCCATCCGGGGTCAGCGCCTGGCACACGAGGCACTCGGAGCACACCTGCGCGGCGTAGAAGCCTTGGTTATCGTCGAAGTCTCTGTGGCAGAACTGGTGATTGTTGCGGTTCGAAGTGTACACGTCACAGCCCCCGAAGCCAGCGTCGAAGCTTTTGCGGACCCCTGTGCAATCAGCCTGTGGAAGTCGCCACGCACTTCCAGCACTGATCTGCATGAGAACGTTGTCCGCCGCAGGCTCCGCATCGCCGGTCGCCGCGACGGCTAGCGAATTGAGGAAGGCAATCGCAATTGCCTTGGGCATAGGAGTCAACATCACGTCTCTGTGAATAACCTCTGGACAATAAAGTAGGTACGTATGGATGACAGTACTGTCTGTCAATTCCCGTGGCTACTCACCCTGGGCCACCAAACTTAAGCCAAAACGACTACCGCCGGGGCGTTGACCTAAAGAATGATAAATAAGGAACGATGCCCCTTTTGCCCATCAGTGAAACTTCGATTTCCAGCGGAAGACCTCAGGAAAACCGAAGGCAAACTGCAGAACAATCAAGGAACACCGAGCCCCTCCCCAACGAAAAAGGGTTCCTTCTGCAGCACCCGGGCTGTACGGAGGAGGGGGAGGATTAGGAGGAGGAGTGATCAGGGCTAGGGTTGAGTCGGGCGTGTCCCCCTACAGGGGGGTTCTCGACGCAAAATCAAAAAGAGGCAAAACATATATTCAAATGATAACTAAACGTGCTCAACAAATAGTCCCCAGACTATACTATTTGACTATTTTTGAATATTCTCGGCGGTGGAGAAACCTCCCTTTAGTAAACCTCCCCTTAATGAAAACGGCCTGGGACAGAAACCGACGGACCTAGACCCGCAAAAATGACGGCCGCGACGCCCTCTCGCGAACCGAAAACGGCCCATTCACGAATCGACGTGTCAGGGTAGGAGGTTTATCCACCCCCGATATTCCCCCTGTAGAGGGACAGGCTCAAAAAATAGCCCCCAGACTATACCATCTGACTACTTTTGAATCTTCCCCCTGTAGAGGGACCTGGCCATCGCTCGGACGTCCATTCCCTGTGCCTTTTTCGGTTTCGCGCGTGTTTTTTTCGCCAGATGGTCGAGGATGCTCCTCGAAGGCCCTCGCCGAAGGAAAAATGCACACGTCCGAGCGATGCCAAGGGACACCCCCGACTCGAGGCCATGGGGCGAGGACCATCACGTTCAGGGAGAGCACGCCGAGACCCACGCCCACCGCCCGCAGCTTCAGCCAGAACAGCAGCCGGTCCTCGTGGCGTGGTCGGAGGAGGGAGGAGGAGGAGGAGGAGGAGGCGGGGGAGGAGGAGGAGGAGGAGGAGGAGGAGGGTGCCGGAGGCTCGGGCAGAAAGCCCGGGCCTCTCGCGAACATCCCTAGACGTCAGGAGGCAACTGCTGGGAGGTCTTCGCCGGAAAGATTTTAAGGAGGATCGAGCCCCATTTCGGGAGCGGCCAAGAGGGGGGTGTCCAAGAAGGGGGGTGCAAATCATGGCCGGCGGCATGTGCGCGGCCCAGCGGGGGGGCCAGGGACGTAATGAAACAAGAAGGGGCGCCATGAGAGCTGGGGAAATATCATGGCCCCGTCCATGATATCCACTCCCCCCCTAGTCATCACCCCCCTCTTTGCCGCCCCCGACTAGACGTCAGGAGGCAACTGCTGGGAGGTCTTCGTTGGAAAGATTTGAAAGGAAGATCGAGCCCCATTCGGGGGGCTGCTGCGCCGGAAAGGGCCTCGGATTGCGCCGGGCTGCGCGGGATTAAGCGGGATGAAGCGGGGTTAGGCCAGATGAAGCGGGATCAAGCCGGATTGAGCCGGATTTCGGACCAGGGTAAAATCAGGATTTGACCTCCCAGGAGTTGCATCCGAACATCCCTAGACGCTCGTGTGTGTGTGTGTGCTGTAGGTGGAGACAGTGGTGAGGCAACCAGGCATGTCAAATCATCAATTTGGGCTTGCGCGTGCCGCGAGTGGTTTGCAGGCAACCCGCGCGCACAATTGCGGCTAACCTGCGCCCTGCATACGCGCATCCCAGAGAGCTCGATCGGATGATCTGACCCTTTGGTCGTTTTACTTTGGCCGATCATGATCCCGCCGACCAGTGTCAAACATAATCATAAATGTATGCTTGGTTGGCGCACTTCTGGTTGGCGCACTTCTCAAACATAATCATATATGTATACCTATGCTATGTATATGTGTATATATGACTACTAGAACCACGCGCGCTTCGCGCGCGCTTACGTTCTAGCATGATCTAGCTGTAGGCTAACATGCTCGGCATCGTAGGACATATACTGTCACACCATCAAGGAGCTTCACCTGCAGCCCCAGAGACAAGCTTGGCTTAGCGTCCCCCCGCCCATGTCGGCACACCCCTCACAGGGATCGCACCCCACAGGGAGCTCCACCTACGTCTCCAGAGAAAAGGTTCGCAAACTGGCACGCCCCCTAGGCGGATCGTGTCCAACAACTAGCTGCACTTGTGGCACCAGAGGGAAGCTTCGGCGCACCTCTCACACGGAGCTTGGCCCGCAGCAAATTCCACGGATGGCCCCAGAAACAAGGCTCGAATCCCGCCCCCCCGCCTATTTTGGCACACCCCTCACACGGACCGTGGCACACAGGGATCTCCATCTACGGCCCCAGAGGCAAGGTTCGCACTGCGCCCCTCCTGGCCATTGCGGTACACACCATCACGCGGATCGTGCTCACAAGTAACACCACATTAAGGCCCAGAGACAAGATTCGTACAGCGCCCCCCGACCATATCGGCACACCCGTCATGCGAATCATGCACAAAAGGACCTCCACCTAAGGCACTGGTGGGCAGCTTCGCATGGCGTCCCCGGCCCATTTCAGACCATGCCTCGCACAGGTCGTGCCCAGAGGAGGTCCAACTGCGGACTCAGTGGGCGTGTTCGCGCGGTGGCATCCGAATTCTTCGGCACGCCCTTCACGCGGATCGTGCCCCAAAGGGACTTCAGCGCACCCGTGCACGCGTGCCCCGCCGCAGCCATTTTTCCGCATTGCCCCGCGGCGCTCAGTGTACGAAGAGAGACCCGCGCTCTGCATTGCTCATGACTGCACAAGGATGGGTCCGTCGCCAAACAAACTGCTAATTTGTGGGGCGAAGCAATCTGGATCTCTTGGGGCCATCTCGTGGCGCATCTTGGCATCTTCTTAGGACGTCTGTAGGGCCTCTTGAACCGTCTTTTTCGGCCGCCACTCTGGTGGCTCTTTGGCATCCTCCAGAGCTGTTTGAACGGCGGGGGGAAACCCGGGAGGCTACGGAAGGCGTCAGAAAGTCGTGGGCCAAAGGGGGGCAACACCCGGAGGGTATCTGGGCCCGGCTTGGGTCTCCCTCCACCTCGTCCTCGCCCCCACTCCTCCTGCTCCTCCTCCTCCTCCTCCTCGTCCTCCTCTTACTCCTCCTCGCTCCTTCCTCTTCCTCTTCCGCCACATCTCCTGCACGTGACGTGCGGGGAACTCTGGTGGCCGTTGGGGGGCGGGGGAGAGCGGCCACTGCAAGCAACGCCCTCGACGCCGAGTCCGTTCGGAGCGGGGCCGCGGGCCCGCGACTCCTCCTCCCCTCCTCCTCCCCACCTCCTCCTCCTCCTCCTCCTCCTCCTCCTCCTCCTCCTCCTCCTCCTCTCCTCCTCCTCCCTCCTCCTCTCCTCCTCCTCCTCCTCCTCCTCCTCCTCCTCCCCCCCCGCCTCCTCCTCCTCCTCCGGTTCCGCTTTGAACGGGTCCACGGATTTTGACACTTGCTTCTTTTCGGCCTTCCGACGGCCCGAGACGGCCCAAGAGCCCCCAAAGATCGCCCCCAAATCGCCCAAGAGGCCTGCAAGATGGCCCCAGAACGGCCCAAAGAGGCCCCCAAGACGGCCCAAGACGCCTTTCAAAGATGGCCAAGATGGCCTCCAAGACGGCCCTGGAGTATTCCAAGAGGGCCCTAAGTCGGCCCAGTGAGGCCCCCAAAACGGCTTCCGACGGCGTCAGACGGGCCAGGAACCCACCAAGACGGCGGAAGATGGCTCTAAGATGGCCCAAGACGGCCCAACAGGCCTCCAAGAGGGCCTCCAGGAAGGCCCGACAAGGCCAAAATCATTGATTCCCCACGAGTTCCTGAAGGATTGTGACACTTGATTCTTTTTGGCCTTCCGACGGCCCGAGACGGCCCAAGAGCCCCCAAAGATCGCCCAAGAGGTCTCCAGTATGGCTCCAGAACGGCCAAGCAGGCCCCCAAGACGGCCCCAAGAGGCCCCCAAGACGGCCCAAGAGGCCTCCAAGACGCTCAAGATGGCCTCTAAGACGGCCCTGGAGCACCCCAAGAGGGCCCCAAATCGGCCCAGAGAGGCCCCCAAGACGGCTTCCGACGGCGTCAGACGGGCCAGGAGCCCACCAAGACGGCCAAAAAGGCCCCGAGAAGCCCCCAAAGGTCTAAGAGGCTCCCGGGAAGCTCCCAGGAGGCCCCAACAGTGTCCCCCGAGGCTCCCAAGATGCCCCCTCCTCCTCCTCCTCCTCCTCCTCCTCCTCCTCCTCCTCCTCCTCCACCTCTTCCTCCGCTTCCTCTTGATCTTCCCCGCCATCCTCCCCTAAATGTTCCCCGAAGGGTTTCCACAACGGTTGGGGGAACACATGGCCCGATACTGTGGCAGAACTTTTGCCACAACGCTCGGCCACATGGGCGATTCTAGAAGGCGGGGGGCGGCGGTGATTCGCCGTAGGCGTCTTCGATCTAGTCCTCCCTGGGTGACCCCCCTCCCCTACATAAATTCGGCACTGGGCGATCTCATCGGGAAGAAATTTGGATTTTCGGTTCCGGTTCCGGGAACCCCTTCAGGCCATCCCAAGCCGCCAAAACGGGCCCAGGACCGCTTCCCGGACGGTCCCGCGGAGCACCGACACGGCCCAAGACCGCTCCAGAACGCTCATTCTGGTCTCAGGGCCCCACGAGAGGCCGAAGATGGCCCCCAAGAGGGCCCCAGACGCCAAAATTCATTGATTTTGCTCGGGTGTTCGATCGATTTGAACGTTCTCGTTTTGTCGAGCTTCCGACCGCGCAAGACGGCCCGGGACGCCCCAAATATCTTCCGAAGAGGGCCAAAGTGGGTCTCAGGAGGGCCCCAAGACGGCCCAATAGGCCTCCAAAACGGCCGAAGAGGGCCCCAAGACAACACAAGAAACCTTGCAATACGGCCCAAGAGGGCGCCAAGAAGGACAATCCGAACTGACATTTCGATCCTTTCCCCCCAACATGGCCCTGGAGACCGCCGAGGGGCCCCTAAGACGCTTCCAGAGGCCCCCAAGAGGCCCCCAAAGCCCAGAAGGCGTCTTCAAACGACGCCCCGGGGAAGCCCCAGAAATGTTTCAATGATCTGATCTCGGGGGGCCCCAAGGGACCCCAGGAAGTCTCCCAAAGCGGCCTCTGCAAGTCCCTCACGTTCCTCAGGTCCCAAAAGTTGCGCAGGTTTCAGAGGCCCCACAAGTCCCGCACGTCCCACATGTACAACAAGCCCCACAAGTCTCGCAGGTCCCCCAAGTCCCAGAGGTCCCACATGTCCCACAGGTCCAGAAGGTCCAACAGGTCCCGCAAGTCCCAAGGTCGGACAGGTGTCTAAGGTCTCGCAGGCACCGTGACTCCTACAGGTCCCACAGGTCCCACAGGCCCCACTCGCAGGTCCTACAGATCCCACAGGTCCCACTGGTCCCACAGGCCCCACGGGTCCAATAGGGTTACAGGTCTTGCAGGACCCACAAGTGTCACAGGTCTCGCATGTCCCACAAGTCGCACAGGACCCACAAGTCCCACAAGTGTCCAACGTCTCGCGGGCTCCACAGGCACAACAGGTCCCACGGGTCCCACAAGTAGCGAACGTTCCACAGGTCCTAAAAGTATCGCAGGTACCGCAAATATCTCAGGTCCCACAAATCCCACAAGTCCTGATTACTACAAGTGCCGAAGGTCCCGCAATTTTCACACATGTCGCACGTTTCATGGGTCCCACAGGTGCCGCAGGTCCGGTAAACCCGCAGGTCCCACGAATACACTAGGTCCCATGGGTCACCTTTGCTGCTATTCGAAAGTGTTGCTGGGGTAACCATGCTTTCCGTGTTGCCAGAGCTCCTCTCCGGGGAAAGAGTTTTCTGTACCCCAATCCAACCGTCAAGAGTTTCGTGTTCTCCGAGAGGATGAGGCAGAGGAGGAGGATGAGGAACAAGAGGAGGACGGGGAGCTGTAGCAGCACTTG